CTCTCTCTCTCTCTCTCTCTCTCTCTCTCTCTCTCTCTCTCTCTCTCTCTCTCTCTCTTTTTAAGCCTGGCCTTTAGTCCTTGGAGAATGTAATAATAGTTAATACTCAGTACATTCTACCCTTCAAATGTGTCTCACATCATAATGTCAATTCCTGTTTTGCCTCCAAAAAATAAAGATTGAGTTTTTTATGATAGTGGTAAAATCAAGACAAGCTTAGTTAATATATTCTTTACCCAAGATCTCATGTAACTAATGGGGGGGGGGGCGCAAAAAACCAAACCAAACCAACAACAACAAAACAAAACAAACAAAAAACCAACCAGGAATCTAACAGACATTTTAGGGATAACATTTAAAGAAAGCTCGGACTCTGGTTGGACCAGAGATGTCCCAGAACCAGTTCTTTCTCAAACGGACAGTAAACAGTTCAGTGTCAAAGTCGGGCAGATGGCGATGTGGTCATGGCTCCAAGAATAGTATTCTTTAGTTTGTGGACTGGGTGAAAGGTCAGGGTAGGAGTGGAGCTGGGAACAAGTTCTGTTCACTTGAAACAAATCTTTGATGTCTTTTATTAAAAGCCATTGCATAAAGAGATGTGTGTTTGCAGAAAACCAGGGTTCTGGGTTTTCAACAAACCTTTTCAAGTCTCAGGAGATGTTTGGCCACTGATGGGAGAAAGGTGAATCAGACCCAAGAGAGCAATGATCCTGGAACCAAAATATCCCTTTCCAGTGGTTCACAGACACAGATCATTTAAGGGGAATCCAGGCCCCGGTACTCAATGTCCAACGTTCTTTTCTGAAGTCCATCTGCCTGAGAGTGTGCTTGTGACCTGAGGGCAGACTCTCTCCTTTCTCCGCCATCTTCCTCCTGCTGGATGAAGAGAGTGGTGTTCTCCTCACCTATCCTTGGTCACACGTAGGGACAAAGCCCCCGAGACACCAAACACACACAAAGAGATGCTGTACTGAGGAAGCAACTGATGACATTTTGCACATGGTCTTAGGTCCCAGCTCTGGAGGTTCTAACATGCCCTGTTTGTCTACATGCCCCAGAGAAAGCCAACAACACTAATGGCGAAAGGCAGTCTCAGAGTTTCTGTTACTGTGATCAAACATCATGACCAAAAGCAACTTGGAGAGGAGACCATTTATTTCAGCTTACGGCTTGTAGTTTGTCATCTAGGGCAGGCACCTGGAGGTGGGAAATAACTCAGAGGCTGTGAAGGAGAGCCGCTTACTGGCTTGCTCTCCATGGCTTCCTTAGCCTGTTTTCTTATAGCACACCGGACCTCCAGCCCAAGAGTGGCTCTGCCCACAGAGCTGGGCCCTCCCACATCAATCATTAATCAAGAAAACGTACCACAGGCTTGCCTGCAGGTGAATTGGGTGAGGGCATTTCTCACTTGATGTTCCCTCTTCCAGAATGACTCTAGCTCGTGTTGGGTTAACATAAAACCAAATAGCACAAGCAGTAAACTTTTTTTTTTTTTTAAATCGAAATGTCCATTTGGAGAAGATAGAGTAAGCATCTCAGACCATCTTCAAAGTACTAACATTAGCATCTTTATGTTTAAACAGGGAAGATTGAGGAAGTGGCTATGAGATGTACATAAGCAAGAGTCTTGGTTAAAATGTGCGCTGTCTTCTGGTTCTGCAAAGCATTTCAAAGAAGTCCTGGTCACTTG